ATAGGAAGGAAATAAGGAAAAGGCCAAGTGGTGTAACGGGGTCGTACTCTCACAAGGACTCAAGCCGGAGATTCAGCAAGAAATTGTCCTGCGAGCCCCAACGACCTTCAACGAGATTGTTCGCATAGCAGATGCGCTGGACGCGCGACGTGGACTCGCGAGAGCGGATTTCCGGGAGGGAAATCGCTTTCGAGGCCAGCCCCAACACACATCAATCAACGGCGTGGAGGTGTTTGCAGCCCGAGTATTTTCGGGGACCTGCTTCCACTGCAACCAGCCGGGTCACATGGTGAGGGACTGCTTGCAGCTGAAGAAGAACTTACCTAACGACAAGAAGCAGTCGGGAAATGGAGATCGTCAGTAGCAGATGGGCCACCTACTGACTTGACTGCGTCGCCCAAACGCCACCACCCCCACCAGGTTTTAGTGCCGATTTGGGCTATCGACCATTCGTGGCTGAATAAGGGGGGTGAACCAGTTGATCACCCTGTGCTGGTCGAAGGGAGAGTTGGCGCCACCCGCATAAAAATATTCGTTGATGGCGGGGTGAGCCACAGTTTGATGGATGTGACGAAGGCGAAAAAATTGCGACTGCAACTGGAGCGCTGCATGCTGGAGATCGACGCAAGACTGGTCGACGTCACACCACTAGCAATTCGGGAGCGAATACCTCACGTGCGAGTTACATGCGACGAAAATTTCAGCTTTACGACGAAGATGCTGGCGACAACGCTGGACTGCTGCAACATGCTGCTGGGATGCGATTGGCTGCGCGAATACAACCTGAGCATCGACTGGCGGACGGGTGATTGTCACATCAACTGGAATGGCGAGTGGCGACGACTTCCGAAGTGGAGCAGTCCAGATTCTGCGACATCGTCAGTCAGCGCGGTTACCATCAAGCGAGCGATGATTCGCGGGGCGCAACCATACGCCGTCAGATGGATCGCATCCACGGTTGTCAGCGCACCAGCTGACATCGACAAACTCTGCGCAGCCGTTCCCGACGACTTGGCGACATTGATTCGCAGACACGCAGACATCTTTCCAGACGACCTACCGCCGGGTTTGCCATCGGAGCGGGCCCACGACCACAAAATCGAGTTGGAGCCTGGCAGGCAACCGACTATTCGGACCCAATGGAGGCTGACTCAACCCGAGTTGGATGAACTTTGCTGCCAGCTGGACTACCTGCTCGAGAAAGGCTTCGTTCGCCCCAGCACTTCACCGTTCGCAGCTCCGATCCTGTTCACCTCGAAGAAAGACGGCGGTCTACGAATGTGCATCGACTACCGCGCCTTGAATCGGGTTACCATCAAGTCCCGCTATCCTATCCCACGCGCCGACGAACTCATCGACCAACTTTGTGGGGCAAAGTTCTTTTCAAAAATTGACCTGCGCGGCGGTTACCATCAAATCCGCGTTTACGAAGCTGACTGCTACAAGACGGCGTTCCGAACCCGGTATGGGAGCTACGAGTACACGGTTATGCCTTTTGGCTTAACAAACGTGCCTTCGACGTTCCTGTTAACCATGAACGAAGTTTTTCGGCCCCTGCTGGATAAGTGCGTCATTGTATGCCTCGACGATATCCTGATCTTCACTACTACCCGACTACAGCATTTGAAGGTTTTGGAAGTAGTCTTCTCTCTCCTGCAGCAGCACCGCCTCATCACCAAGGGTTCTAAGTGCGAGTTTATGAAACAAGAGCTGGAGTTTTTGGGACACGTTATTTCCATCGACGGTGTTAAAATCGACCCGAAAAAGATCGCGACAGTACAAGACTGGAAGCCGCCGGCTAATCTCCGCGAACTTCAAAGTTTCCTGGGGTTTGTGAATTACGTTCGCCGGTTCATTCCGAACATGGCGGGGGTAACTTCCCCTCTCACGGATCTCCTGAAAAAAGGCAAGTTTTATGAATGGGGGGGAGAGTAGCAGGCTACGCTCGACCAACTCAAACTTTTCCTGACAACACCTCCGGTTCTTCGCATTGCAGATCCTCACCGTCCGTTTGAGCTCATCACCGACGCTAGCGACCTGGCTGTTGGCGCAATACTGTTACAAGACTTTGACGAAGGACTTCAACCCATTGCCTATGAGTCACGAAAGCTGAATCCGGCCGAGCGAAATTATCCTGTCCACGACAAGGAGTTACTCGCCATCGTCCATGCTTTCAAGGTCTGGCGCTGCTACCTGACGGGCGCTGACGTGACTGTCAGAACAGACCACAAATCGCTACAGTTCATCCGTGACCAACCGACACTCAATCCCCGACAGATTCGCTGGCTCGATTATCTCGAGTCGAATTTCCACTATAGAGTCACCTACAAACGGGGGGCCAGCAACATCACTGACGCACTGATCCGCCCTTCGGTCCACACCGCCGCAGTCCTAATCACCCAAGCTAATCTGCTGCTAACCGGTCTATTCACCCACGGATACAGTACCGACCCATTCTTCACTACTTACAGTCATCCCAACTGACGGTCAAGCAAGGGGCTTATCACTTAAAATCCGGTACCAATCGGATTTGGTTTCCCGCCTACCGTACCCTACGCGAGCTACTGATACAGGAGGCACACGACTCGAATTTCTCGGGTCACTACGGCATCGACAAAACTGCCAAATTACTGAGCTGTAATTACTACTGGCCGGACTTGCCGACAGACGTGCAGCAGTACGTCACCTCCTGCGCCACGTGTCAACGCATGAAGTCGTCATGACTTCGACCCGCGGGATTACTACAGCCGCTCGAGCCACCCAGCCAACCCTGGCAACAAGTGACGATGGATTTCGTCACTTGCCTGCCAGCTGATCCAAGCGGTAATGACGCAATTCTCGTCGTCGTTGACCGTTTGACCAAGATGGCCCGCTTCGCCGCTTGCAAGACGACAATCACTGCCGAGCAGACAGCGAAGCTATTTCTGACGAACATCGTGCGGCTACACGGCATCCCTTCGGCAATCATCAGCGATCGCGACCCTCGATTCACGTCCAACTTTTGGACAAAAACCTGGCAGCAGTACGGCACACGTCTGCACCTGTCCATGGCATACCAACCACAATCGGACGGCCAGACTGAGCGCACCAACCAGACGATGGAGCAGCTGATTTGCAAGACGTGCACAGACCCGGCCCAGTGGGAAGATTCTCTTCCACGGATCAAGTTTGCGTACAACAACGCCACATCAGCCACGACTACTCAGTCCCCATTCTTCCTCAATTACGGGATAGACCCGACGACCCCTCTATCGCCACCGATAGAAAATCTGGCCCCAAGATCTCAGGAGTTCGTCGAAAATCTCTGACAGTTTCAGCAAAAAGCCGCTGATGCCATCCTCAAAGCCAACCAACGGGCTAAGCAGCAAGCTGACCGATGACGCCGTGACGTAACTCTTGCCCCTGAGCAATTGATCCTACTCGACACCAGAAATTTAGGGGTTCCCCTCCCAAATAAACTACGACCACGATTTTGCGGGCCTTTCCGCATCATTCGCATGGTGACACCCATCACCGCCCAACTGCAACTGCCGAACGACTGGCGAATTCACAATTCATTCCACGTCAGCCTTCTGCGACCGTTCGTCCCGAGTACGACTGATCTTGACCGTCAATACATCAATCCTACGGTCAACCTCGTACCCGAGCCGACAATCGAGCCATCGAAGATTCTTGCTCATCGCGTACGCGGTCATCGAGACACAGCAGCCGTCGATTTCCTTATACGATGGGTCGATCGCACGACTGACGACGACCTTTGGGTCCCCGCAGCTATGCTCGGCGGACACAAAGTTGTCCGGGACTATTTACACCGACGACATGTCCCGAATGTGGGTAGTCTCATCCCGGAAGGGGGGGTGGTATAAGGAAATTCCTTTTCCTTACTGGGCTCGACTACAGCGTGTACGCCCGCGACTCTAGGAAGTCCAGCCTCGGCCACTTTCTTTGGTCCCGAACCACTTCGCGAACCCAAACCTCGACGCGCAACACTTCCGTGGCTTTGGCCAATCGAATCGCCCCAACCTGTTTGCGTGGTTCTCGGCTAGCTTTGTTCATGCCTATAAAACCTAGACCCTCATTTTTATCGAGACTCTTGAATCACAACTCCTTTCTTACACTATCTGTTATTACTCTGATTAATTCATAATAGCTCTCATGTGCGTGCACACTTGTATGTGCTCTCATGTGCGTGCACACGTGTATGTGCTTTCATGAGCGTGCACACATGTATGTGCTCTCATGTGCGTGCACACGTGTCTGTGCTCTCATGTGCGTGCACACGTGTCTGTGCTCTCACGTGCGTGCACACGTGTATGTGCTCTCACGTGCGTGCACACGTGTATGTGCTCTCATGTGCGTGCACACTTGTTTGTGCTCTCATGTGCGTGCACACGTGTATGTGCTCTCATGTGCGTGCACACGTGTATGTGCTCTCATGTGCGTGCACACGTGTATGTCCTCTCATGTGCGTGCACACGTGTCTGTGCTCTCATGTGCGTGCACACGTGCATGTGCTCTCATGCGCGTGCACACGTGTCTGTGCTCTCATGTGCGTGCACACGTGTATGTGCTCTCATGTGCATGCACACGTGCATGTGCTCTCATGTGCGTGCACACGTGTATGTGCTCTCATGTGCGTGCACACTTGTTTGTGCTCTCATGTGCGTGCACACTTGTTTGTGCTCTCATGTGCGTGCACACTTGTTTGTGCTCTCATGTGCGTGCACACGTGTGTGTGCTCTCATGTGCGTGCACACTTGTTTGTGCTCTCATGTGCGTGCACACTTGTTTGTGCTCCCATGTGCATGCACACGTGTATGTGTGCTGTCATCATCGTTGACTGTATGGTCATGCCGACAGCCAAAACGAAGATCACGATGACTCGAGGGAAAAGCAAGACATTAAATACAAATAGGAAAAGTAGGGACCTGTTCGAGTAGAAATGGCAGCAGAAGAGCCACACTAACCACACAAGGAACAACACACTTCCACAACACCATGCTCTGCGAGTCAACTCAGCCATCCAAGGAAGGAAAAAGCCACATCAGCTCTCAAGCCCCGGCAAGGGCGAAAGCTTTCAGTCGGCCACTGCGAATGTTTCGAGAAACGAAGCCATATGTGTGCTTTCATCATCGTTGACTCGTATAAAAAGCCAATCGGCAGCTAATGAAAAGCGTCGAAGGAAACAGAACTACGGATCATACAGCATCATGACATCAACCAAGTTCGATGCATACCTTGTTCAGGTTTTCAAATCGACCCCAGCTTCCACTCTAATTGCAGCTGTGAAAAGGACCCACGTTGAAAAAAGCCCAAATGACCATCGAGCTGATGCAGGAAGCATTGTCCAGTAAGGCGGGTTGTTCGCTTGCACGCATGCGTCACTTGGTTAGGTTTCAGTGACCAGAAGCTGCACATGACTGGCGGTGCGGTTCATCGCCCCAGCTCGCCTGGCATGACCCGCCATCATTGCGTTAGCACGAGCTTGCAGAAGGAAAAGAGGACGGCCGATGAAGTCGGGGCCATGGGAACACAGAAAATGGAGCAAAGGCGGCAGCCATGAAGCTGAAACTAACCTGACAAAGATAGAAGCGTAAAATGTAATAGCATTGTGGCGAAGTTGGGCAGTAGTACTGCAAAAGCCTGCCTGTCGGTTTGGTATAAGTGTTGTTGCTTGGCGAACTTCTCTTTCTTGTGATTTTTGCCTCCCGGAAAACTTGGAGGGCAGGGTTCAAGAGGTTTCTGATTTCCCTAGTGGAATGTTCCAGGAGCGCGACAATATCGAGGGGAGTGCGAGGGTTTCCAGAAGGGTGGATTTGGTGGTTAGCCACGATCTGTTGTGCACTAGGGCGTCAGAAGGAAGTATTCCTAGTTATTAAAGCCCCCTTCTCATAATTCTAGGAAGTGAGCAAGTGTTAAATGTTTGGTACCCAGTTACGCTGGCGAATTTGAAGCGACAAACTTGGATATGCCTCGTACAGTGTGCTGTGCTAGGGAGGGGATACCAACCGTAAAACCAGTTCAGCAATATGAGAATCCGCAAGTTCACGGAAGAACGGTGCTGCTGCACCGTTAGATCATCAAGAGCCTTTGATCTGACGGTTGAGTGACTGGGAGTTTGAATCGACGGCTATAAACGAAGTAGAAAGTTGTTGCGCAAAAAATTGGAGTTTGCACCGTCCGATGTGCTAAACCTGACGCGTTGCAAACTTTCCCAAACCTGATTCTTGGTTTGGAGTTTTTTGTCGAAACAAAACGGCCTCGCCACGTGAGTTTCGTTTTCGTAGTTTTGTTTACACCTCGCGTACCAATCAGTGCCTGTCTGTCTCAACCAAGTGTTAAACTCTGGTAATTATGAGATGGGGGCTTTAATTTGGACTCCTAACCTTATGGCCGTGTGGAACAAATCAACCAATTCTCTTTCAAAAATTCACATGTGAAAACGTGAACTCTGAGCAACACATCGGCCCGGGAAAACATATGTGCATACGATCCATTGGGAAGGGGATGGTTTCATCTCAAGCGTGCAACACTATCCAGACGTTGCTTACTTCATACATTTCCATTACGAATTGTACGGTATGAATCCAGCCCTTGCGTCTCAATCCTCAAGACTGCAGCTTTCAATTGTAGTAGTTACACCAGTAACCGTTACCTGCTGTCTCTCCTTAGCTTCCCCTACCCCCTTTGCTCCCTAATTTCCCACCACCTTGTCCCCACTACTCTCCCCTTCCACCATATGCAACAGTGCAGCAATATCCCTCTCCATCTCCCCAATCACCACATGCAACTCACTCACACTCCTCCCTCCCTTCCCCACACCTTTCGTCCCCCCATCTCCTCGATTCCCCGATTTCCCTTCACTCCCAACCGTTCCAGTGGCACCATCAGCAGCAACACCTACACCCCCCGAATCCTCCGATGTTCTTGGCGCTGGTGGCAGCGGCAGCAGTAACTTCAATTCTCTCGCTCTAAGCAGCAGCTGCAGCGCTCTCATGCGGATGGTGGCGGGCTCTTGAGGCGGGAAGAGGGACGCACCGATTTCGTCCACATCCTCAATTGCAGCCAAGCACACACGCAGAACCGATTCCAACATACCGCTGCTGTTCTGGCTGCTATTCATGCTGGCGGTACTGCTGCTCGCACTACAGATCGTGTCGCTGCTGCTGCTGGCATTGCCATTGTCTGCACTCTTAGGCTGCTGCTCTCGTTGTTCCCGCTCCTCCTCCTGCTCCTGCTGTAGTTGTTGTGGTGTTTGCGCCAGCTGCTGCTGTCCCCATGAGTCCCGGTGCTGTGGCCATGCGGCCACAAGGTAAATGAGACACCGAACCACCCCTTCCGCTGCTCCACACACGCACAGTCCACTCCTCGCCAACACCCTCTCCTCCTCGCCCAAACTCTCCTCCTCTTCCTCTTCCTCCTCCTCCTCATCACCATCGTCTTTCTCCTTGTCGTTCCCTTCATCCTCCGTTTCTTGCTGCTTCCTTCCTAGATTTCCATTAGCCTTCCCCTCCTCCTCCCTCTCACCAGTCTTGTCCCCCTCCCCTTTTTCGTCTCCCTCCCCCCTCTCCTCGCCCTCCCTCTCAACCATCTCCCCCAGTTCCCTTGCAACGTCTTTCATTGAAGCAGCAACGGTCACCAGAGCCCTCCCCACAGCCGCATCATTGCTTCCTGGAAGCTTCTTCAGCGCTGTGCACGCTGACTGCAGCACGCCCACCTGCATTGGGAGGCGTTGCGCTCGCTGATTGGCTGTAAGAGGGAAGGGTGGTAGGAGAGGCACAGAAGAAAGGAGAAGGTGGGAGAAGGGAAATGGGAAGAGCAGGTGGGAGAAGGGATATGGGAAGAGCAGGTGGGAGAAGGGATATGGGAAGAGCGGGTGGGAGAAGGGATATGGGAAGAGCAGGTGGGAGAAGGGAAATGGGAAGAGCAGGTGGGAGAAGGGATATGGGAAGAGCAGGTGGGAGAAGGGATATGGGAAGAGCAGGTGGGAGAAGGGATATGGGAAGAGCAGGTGGGAGAAGGGATATGGGAAGAGCAGAAGGGATATGGGAAGAGCAGGTGGGAGAAGGGATATGGGAAGAGCTGTGCACACTGACTGCATCACCTTGGGGATGAGCAGGAAAGGACCGTAGTCAGCCACAATGAATTTCATACCGTTTGATGTAGTTAAAGCGGTATCTAGCAGGGCAGATGCAGCTGACACGACGCTCTCAGCAGCTGAGCGAATGGCAGCATGCCACGTGGCAGCAGCGCCAGCGCTGCAGGCGTGCAGCAGCAGCAGGGAGGCCACGAACGAGTCGTGGAAATCGGAGAGGAGAGGAACGGCCTCTGCTGCCTTTGGGGGTGAAGAGTTTGCCCAGAAGATTCCCACTGGCATGCAAACGAGACGTTGGTTATGCAAAAGGGGGGTCGGGGGGAGACGAAAAGGGGGAGGGGGGGGGGGAAGAAGAAGGGGGTGGGGGTAAATGCAGGGGGGGTGAGGGGAGGTGAGAAAAGAAGGGAAGGTGGGGAAAGGGAGGTTGAGGCGAGGGAGAGGAAGGCAGGGCAAGGAGAGGAATCAAAGGTGCAAGCACAGTGGCAGTAGGAATGGCAGTGGGAGTGGGACCTTACACATGTGTGGGAATTTCCAAAGCCAGTACGAGCGCTAGGCCCTTTTGAGTCGACTCAAAAGTCAAGCATGGTTGCAGCAGAAGTGGGAGCTAACTAATGTGTAGTTCCGAAGCCATTACAAGTGCTAGGTCCCTCCTTTACCTTTAACGGCTTGCTGGAATTACAACGCTTGTATTACAACGTACATGAGCCCCCCCCTTACCTTTAACGGCTTGCTGGAACAACAAGTCTTGTATTACAAGGTGCATGAGGTCCCTCCCTTACCTTTAACCGCTTGCTTCACAAGGTTGTCTGCTGCTTTCGCCACGTCATCTCTGCCCACCTTCTTGGAAGTTTCTGGCGCCGCTTCTGAGAAGAGCTGCAGGGAGGAAATACGGGGAGGGGCCAAAAAGGGAGGGCGAGGAAATCCATGAGGTGCCGCAAAACGTGACTATTGTTGAGGCGCCTCAAAAATAGACGCCTCAAAAATAGACGCCTCAAAAATAGACTCCTCAAAAATAGACTCCTCAAACGAATCTTCTATCATTTGGTCACGAGCAACTAGCAGGATTCACAGGAATCACGTAAAGCCTAGTTAAAGACTTCAAACCGAAAAAGCCTACCTCGAGAATCTGCTGGGAAGACTCTTTAAAGCGCTTCTGAAAGGCGATGACGGAGGAGCGCGGCGCCATGGTAACGATTGATGCGAAATCAGGGCCGAGAGAACCCCTTCAACAGCGCTGCTAAGCTCGCAATCAATGCTCAAAGCCTCGCAATCGATGCGTGTAAAGCATTATGAGCTGCTGACTCAAGAGGCGGCGACCGAGGAGAGCGCCATGTCAGCCTAGAAGTTGCGCGCCGGGATGCAACGGATTGCAACAAATCGGGCTATGGAGGATAGATACCTGCGTCTAGCTTCCTCCATACGCCTCCTTAGGGCTGGTCCCAACATCCCGCATACAAATGTACGGTGGTGTACGGTGCAACACAGTCGGAACCGGTTTTCGTGTTTCACCGCTTTGAACCAGGGTCCTCGATTGCAGACAAAATCTGTCTGTTTGTCTGATATTCAGAACCTTTTTTTGGCCTTTATCTGATTTTTTAGAAACCTGTTTTCAGACTTTCTGATGTCCTAGAAAGTGATTTTGTATTCGTCTGGAAAAACAGAATGGGTGTATTCGTTCTTCTGAGTTTTTAGACTTAGCGAATCCATCCGTCTGAAACCAATATCTATAGGGCTGTATACAGCCCCCTTATACAGACCGCGTATACCACGCGGCCCGCGTTGTGGCCGCCCACCCAAAACGTGAACGCACTATTCTGGCAGCTTTACATGACGCGTCACTCGCAGCGAGGCATTAGCAAGGCAGGGTGTGACTCAAATGCTGCCCACAATCAGCTGCGGCAGCATGTGATGGCACATGCATGTGAATCTCATTGGCTTGTCTTGTGACAGCGCACAAGGATACCATCGCCGTTGCCAGCTAAGGGGCGTGCGCGCGCTGGGTCGTGTGTTGCAATGCATGCTGCAGCTGCAGCTCCACATCTGATTGGCTTGTCTTATCAACAGCATAGTACCCCTCGCCTATTGGCTTGTCGCCAAGTGCCCGCTTCGTGCAGGAGACGAGAACCTTCGCCAGCTTTGGACGATGGATGGATGCTCCCCGTGCCGCTGGAGACGCATGCGCGCCCTGAGGATCTGTGAATGAAGGACCACGCCCATGTTCTTCTCCTGTCCTCGTTGCGACGCTCACTCCTTCCCCTCACTATGTTGACGACACACGGTGATTACTTGTCCGTTTTCTACCTGCTCCATAGCCCGTCTCACACCACTTCGACATGGATGCTGGCGCCGTTAGAGATGGCGGCGCCGCATCTGTAGTTCCTCCCACGGCTGGTATGCCCCCCGTAAGTGGGCTTGATTTCCTGCGTCTAGCTCACCAGACCTGCCCAAATCCAGAGGCAAATCACGTGCCTGCAGTCCCATCACCCGCAGTAGCGCCGCCATTTAGCGAGATACTCCCAGAAGTTAACAGCGACCCGTTACTCGCATCCACTCCCCCAACGTCTCCTCGCTCTCCTACCGCTGTATCAGCTAGGCGGTCCCCTCTGCTGTCCGTCGGCGCTGTACAACAGCTGCCGAAGCCACGGTCCATTCGACAGTTCACACAAAGCACGATACGCTTTGCACGCACCCGTGTTCCTCACATCCGTATCGAGGCTCGCGCCTCCACTGACGAACCACCTTCGTCGGCAGAACATCCCGAAGCTGGTTCTTCTGGTGACCGGCCGGTCCCGAATCCGAAGTCCCGTCTTTGCTGCCGTCTCATCCCTGACCCTGACGCGCTTCTAGCTGAGCTAAAAAGCAAGGCTGAGGAGCAGTGGGTCCGAAAGTTCCCATGGCTCATCATCGATCAGCGCCCCGACGGACGTCCGTGCATGAAATGTCGACTTTGCATGGCTCACGCACCTCCCACCTGGCAGTACGGAAAACTCGGCAACGGCGGAGTGGATATCCAGAAGCAAACAATGGTGAAGCATTCTCAAAGCAAGAAGCACGAGGCCGCAGAGGAGAGACAGCAGCAGCTGGATGGCAAGGTCACGTCGCAGCCGAGCATCACAGAGTTCGAGGAGTCCCTTGAGTCCCTCGACAACCGCCTCAGGCAGTTGTTGCTCATCGTTTTGTGGATTTGCAAGTCTGACGCCCCCATTGGCATGTTTGTTTCTCTTCTTCGTCTTCTCGTCGACTTACGGACTCCACACATCCCTGAGAAAGCCTTCGGCACGTACCATTCTGAATAAGTCTGTCTGTCGTTTCTTCGCAGTAGATACTCAAGGACTACCGTTCTGACTAAGTCTCTCTCTGTTATTTTGCTTCTGCAGGTACGGCTTCAAGCAGATCACTGAAGCACTAGTCGTCTACCTCCGCGCCCAGCAGAAGAAACACATTGACGCATCTCCATTCGTGGGCATTCAGCTGGATGAGAGCACCGACAGGCGGCGTGGGAAACACATGATTGTCTATCTGACATTCTTGAAGAACGCCAAGGTCGTGACTGAGTTCTACGCTCACCTCACAGTTGAGAAGTGTGATGCCAGCTCTCTTCTATCAACACTACTGACACACCTGGAATCTACCGGGCTGGATCTGAACAAGATCAGCGGCATCAGCACTGACGGCACCAGCGTCATGACCGGCGTGAACCGGGGCCTCGTGGCGCAACTCCGAGCCAAAGTTCCGCACCTCGTCGCATGCCACTGCATCGCGCACAGGTCAGTTTTGGTTGGTGCCGTGTAATGAACTTGTACTTGGTGTTGCGATGTCCGTTGATTTAAATATGAGCCAAGTGCATGTAACCAAACATTGAAGAACTAATGTTTTCGTTTGTAGCTTGCAGAGAGGCGTTGGCTGTGAAGGATGCAGCCACCGAGTACGTTGACCTTGACATCGTGGACAAGGTGGTCAGGAGTCTGGCTGACATCCTTGGGCGGAGCATCGTCGTACACAAGCGTTTCAGCGAGCTCCAGAAGTTCATCAACGATACGACCCTGGAAATGCAGGGTATAAAGGATATCCGATGGCTCTCCCGGGGGGAAGCCATCTCGCGGCTCGTTGAAGTTCTCCCCGCTGCAGTCTTGCTGCTGTATGAATTTGATGATGACATGTACCATGTCGTCATCAGCTTCAAGTTCCACTTCCTTCTTTTTTTCCTAGCTGACGTCCTTGCAGAGCTTAATGCCCTCAACAGAAAGTTTCAGCGTCGAGCTGTAAGCGTGCATGCTTGTTCATCAATATAAATAGTTTCCTCCTCCTGCCTGAACGCATAACAGCGCTAATTTCATTGCAGTGGCTACATCGCAGGTGGACATCACCAGAGTCGCCCAGCTGATTGAGAACACCTGCAATGTGCTCCGCTCACGCTACATCGAGCATGGCGTCAACTTCGGCGAAGGCTCCGACCTGCTGTCTAAGTTCTTGGAGGAGCATGGACCTTCCAACAAGCGGAGGGTCATGGTGGAGGGCATCGATGGCTCTGGCAACCCCAAGACCCACACCTTCAAGCTTCATGAGAAGGACTTGAGCGACCAGAGGAGCAAAGGAGATATGGAGTCTTGTATCTCCCTTGCCTCCCTCTTTGTGCAGGCGGTTGTTCGGAATCTGGAGACGCGTATGGCGAGTCTCAACAATCACTGTCGAAGCTGTTCCTCCCCGACGCATACCCCGACGCACCCGCAAAACGCGAGCGGCTTTGCGCAGAGTGGTTCGGTTCGCTTAAAGTCCTCTACAGCGCCGAGAAGTGCGCCATGCCCGGTGCGTCTCTTTTTGGTTTATGTACATTGATTGTGAATGTAACAGTATTGCGGCATATATTGAATGTGAATGTCGCAGTAGGAGGATCTAAGTTATGTTATAATGCTTCCCTACCAATCTCGCCCCACAGGAGTCGACTGGCTGAAGGCTGAAAGAGAGCTTCCGCGGTTCACTAGGATGATGAACAAGCACTACAAAGACCACTCATTCCACAACTGCCTCAAGAACATTCTTAGGTCGGAGGACTGGCGCACGGCGTACCCCAACCTCGTGCGCCTGTGGGTAGCTGTTGCTGTCTTGCCGCTCAGCACCGTGGAGTGTGAGCGTGGCTTCAGCCGCCAGAACACGATCAAGTCCTGGCTGCGGGTTAACCTCTGCGACACCCGCCTTGCAGATCTCATGTGTGTCTCTCTGCTGGAGTACCCTATGAAGTGGGAAGAAGTGATGGAGAAGTTCCGAGCATCAGTTCCGCGACGCCAGGCGAAGCATGTCGTCATGCCCAACCCCCCCCGCAAGAAGAGAAAGCACGACAAGAAGAAGAGGAAGAAGACTAGTGCTGATGATGAAGATGTGGATGTGCGCATGACCATGGTTGTAGAGGACTTGTCTGACTAAAGCTAGGAGGTGCAACATGGTGTGCATCAGTAAGCGAAGAAATATGCTACTAAACATTCTGTATATTTAGAAATTTATGGCATGTTCGTCTGACAAATCAGAAATCTTTGAAGAAGCCGTCTGATGATCAGACGGTTCCGTAGGGCCCGTCTGATCGCTTAGAAAGTGGCTGGGGGCAATCGAGGACCCTGCTTTGAACCATTATTCACCAGATTAAACCGTATAAAACGTGTGGGGGACTTACTTGGACCCGCCCTAAACCCTGAAGGACCCAAAAGCTCGGGGTTCGATCAGGTCGCTTTCAATGGACCCGTTTCTCGATAAACATCTTGAAAGGCTGAAAATTTGCACTCTTCATTGGTCTACTAGATAAAGAAACTACTGTTGGCGAGAATAGATTATGGTACACTAAAAGAATCCACTAATTGACATTGTTGCTTCTAATTGTTGCTGGAGGCACAGGAGGCACAGTAGGTAACAAAGGAAGAGTTGCACGGAGCCCTCCCCTCTCCCTCTCCCTCTCCATCTCCCTCTCACCCTCTGTTCCTCTATCACTTGCCTCCGGTTTCCTCTCCTCACCAACCCCACCCTCCTCTCTCCCTATTCTCCCTTCCCCTTCCCCTCTTTCCTCACTACCACTAACCCCCATGGTGCTTCTCTCCTCCCCTGGTTGCAACAACTCTGCCCCTTCTGCATCCTCTCCCTTCCTGCCACTCCAAAACTCACTCCAACTCCTCCCCTGCACAGAACCCAAGGGAGCAGAACTAACTCCTGAACCGGCTGCACCAGCAACGTTAGCACCCGCACCCGCAGCACCAGCAGCAGCAGCAGCAGCAGCAGCAGCAGCAGCAGCAGCAGCAGCAGTACCAGCAGCAGCAGAACCGGCAGCAGGAGCAGGAGCAGGGGAGATCGTGCCAAGCAAGTAGCTGTATGTGCTGCTGCTCCACTCTTGTAAGGAGGCAATCTGGGGAAGAACCAAGGGTATGGGTGTCAAGAATAGTTTTGAGGCGCCTCAAAACCAACCTGGGGAAGAACCAAGGGAGTGGGTGTCAAGAATAGTTTTGAGGCGCCTCAAAACCAACCTGGGGAAGAACCAAGGGAGTGGGTGTCAAGAATAGTTTTGAGGCGCCTCAAAACCAACCTGGGGAAGAACCAAGGGTGTGGGTGTCAAGAATAGTTTTGAGGCGCCTCAAAACCAACCTGGGGAAGAACCAAGGGTGTGAGTGTCAAGAATAGACGCAACAGTCGTTGATGTCAGTATGTTGGGGGCTATGAGTAGACCTAACGAGTAGCTATGAGACTGGAAGTCTACCGAGGGACCCGTCTTGCTGCTGCTGCTGCAACAGCAGCAGCAGATGCTGCGACCACCCTAAAAAAAAAGAAGGGGTGCATTGCTGAACCACTTCGTCACACAACCACCGCTTCAGCCTCCAGCCCCCTCCTCCAGCTCACCCATCCTCCTGCTCACCTCCTCTAGCTCCCACCCCTCCCCCTTCCCCCCTCCCCCCCCCACATGCACCCCCTTCCGCACTCACCCCACGCTGACTGGGCCAGCCACATGGCGTGATGACGCATGGGATTCTACAATCGACCATGACCGTGTGCGGCCACTAGCGCACCTGATTTCAGACGTCGACCAGCCACCTGCTGCCCCACTTGATCGCATTTCTTAGGCGCCTCAAAAATAGGCGTCTGCAGCCACTAGTGCACCTGAATTCACAATCGCACATTCCAGACGCCGACCAGCCACGTGCTGCCCCACTTGATCGTACAGCACCAGCGCTGAGTCTACTGCCGGTGAATTTAGGCTTCCTCTGTCGACACCCACCTGCTGCCCCACTTGATGGTACAGCTCCAGAGCGGAGTCCCCTATCCGAGCAGAGTCCCCTGTCAGAGTCCCCTGTCAGAGTCCCCTGTCAGAGTCCCCTGTCAGAGTCCCCTGGTGTATGTAGGGTTGCCTCAATCGACACCCACCTACTAACCCGACCTTTGAGTTGGCTCCGAAATTCTCTCAAGTCGGCGTGACTCTCACCTGCTGCCCCACTTGATCGTACAGCTCCAGAGCCGAGTCCCCTGTCCGAGCGAACCGATTGACCCATGCTGGAAGGAGAGGGGAAGATCAGCCAGGGGGTGGCATGTACAGAGGGTTGCGAGGAAAAGGGATGCGTGGTGACTTGGGCAGCCTTGACACCCAACTGCTGTCCCACCTGATCGTACAAGTCTATATCAGAGTCCCCTGTCCGAGCAAACTGATTGACCCACGCTGGAAGGAGGGCATATCAGCCGGGGATTGGCATGTAACGGGAGTTGGCACACTTCGAAAATTGGCATGTAATGAGGATGGGCTACTTCTGAGTCGAAACAAGGCCTGAGGCTGAAGCCAGTAGGCACAGGGGAAGCAGCAAATGCCGAGAAGCGAGCACAAGGAGAAAAGCAACTAACGAGTCTTGTTTTTAGAGTGAATCATGTGCGCGACAAGAGTGGGAATGGGACAAGGTCACAAGGATGGGAATGAGACAAGGATGGGAATGAGACAAGGATGGGAATGAGACAAGGGTGGGAATGAGACAAGGCTGGGAATGAGACAAGGGTGGGAATGAGACAAGGGTGGGAATGAGACAAGGGTGGGAATGAGACAAGCCTGGGAATGAGACAAAGATGGGAATGAGACAAGAGTGGGAATGAGACAAGCGTGGGAATGAGATCAACTGCCAGGGTTGACCAGAGAGCAACAGTCAGTTCTGCTGAATCAGGCAGCGCCCAGGCTTCAACCAATGCAACTGCACAAACTGAAAGCGCGTATGGTAACCAGTATGGACCCCATAGGCCGGACTGACCCAGTTTTGAGGCGCCTCACAACGAGTATGGTAACCAGTATGTGCCCCATGGGTCTGACTGACCCACCTGGTATTGGCCCGCGTCCCGACGCCCTGCCTGACGCACACAGCTCGTTGTAGAAGTGGTTACTTACAGTGGTTACAGTTCCAAGCGTCAGCGAGTACGTTCAAGCTTCACTGTTTCTTACCCCCCATGCCAGCTTGCACATTACAAGTCTGCACCCACCTGGAATAGGCCCGACACCCAGTTTGTCGCACAGCTCGTCGCAGAAGTGGTTACAGTTCCTTGCAAGCATGTCGTACGATGCACCAGGCCACTTCACGCTCATTTCCGCGATGACTTGCCCCGCGCGTTTCGCGCTGAGCTTCGTCTCCCCCATGTCCACCGTTTCGCGGTACGTGTAGTAGGGATTCGATTTAGGAGGACAGCTGAAGACTCCGGAGCCGCGCTCGCAGTATCCAAAGGACCATTCCTCGCCGTACACCTGGGAAGTGGGAATGAAAGAGTTAACGTGTGTAATGAGTCGTTTTATGAGTCGACTAAAAAATCGACTCATTACACACGGAAAGTACACCTGGGAAGTGGGAATGAAAGAGATAACGGGGGAGGAAGCGCGGAGGGGAGAGGGGGAGGTGGGGGGGAGGAGAGGAGGAGGGAGGGAGGGGGAGGGGAGGGAAGAACCGTTCCTTGCGGTACCTCGGAAGGGGGAAGGGAGTGGGGGATTGGCGGGGGGTGTGGGGGAGGGGGAGGGGGAGGGGGAGGGGAGGGAAGAACCGTTCCTTGCGTTGCGGCACCTCGGAAGGGGGAACGAAAGAGTTAAGGGGGAAGGAGTGGGGGGGTGGGGGAGGGGGAGAAGGGGAGGACCGTTCCTCGCGTGAGGAGTTTATTTTTGAGGCGCCTCAAAAATAGACTCCGTTCCTCGCAGTGCACCTGGGAAGATTTAAGATTCAAGCATACTGACACAGGAACGGGAGGGCGGCTTCCGTCATAGCATACGGAGCGGCAAGGAGAACTCAACTCAACGAAGCTGCATTGCCCGTTCGCACGTCGACGGCGCCATGGAAGATGCCACCGATTCTCAAGGTGCTTCTAGCAATGCCGTTGATGCCGCCAGTTCCTAGTGGGCTCCTCGCAACACAGCAGAGCAGTGGTAACTTGCGAAGGTGACTAATGGGAAGATGACTCGTGCCAGGGAGACGTCTGCTGCTTCCACTACCACGCTCAACGCAGCAAATCCCCCCACACTGCTCACCTCGACCGCGCCGTGGAAAATGCCACCGATTCCCAAGGTGCTTCTCGCAATGCCGTTGATGCGAAGCACCGTGCTGTTTACGTTCGGGTCAGGGCTGTTGGTGACGTCATACAGATGGAGTAGAACCTTCTTGTCCGCCATGGCTAGGCTTTAAAGAGCCTCGAAAAGAGCCAAAACAGGAGGCGCGTCAAAACGGGGTACTAGGGCGGTTGGTCACGTCATGCAGATGGAGTAGACAAGGACCTTCTTGTCGGCCATAGCCAGGTTCTAAGGAGCTAAAAAGAAGCATAGAAGCGAGCCTCAAAAGGAGGCATGAGGCTCTTCAACGGCTGTTGGTCTCGTCGGCTATGGAAGATCCGACCAAACCAGAGGTGATTTTTGAGCGAAAGGTAGCGTGATAATGATTGAAAATTAATGTTTACAAGACAGAATGTGTCGAGATGGCCGAGTTGGTCTAAGGCGCTGGATTAAGGTTCCAGTCCGAAAGGGCGTGGGTTCAAATCCCACTCTCGACAATTTCTTGTTGCGGTCACTCCGCGTACGTGGTATACGCTTTTCTTTGCAGACGCTCAAAATGTAGAGAAATCTGTGAACACTTCATCAAACGTGGGTATTGGAAAAAGGAACCCCGTGGAGAGATTAGTGCTAGAGGGACGGATGCGAGCACGCTGTACAGCTACATTGAGCTCAAAACAAGCCAAATTATTGCACAACATACAGACATCATACTGCCCATACTGGAATCAAGCCACTGGCTGACGGCTAGTAGCTCCTACCCCCCTGTCTGGTCACTAGGCGATACTACCGTTATCCTTGGCCTGAAACCCTAGAGCAAGCCCGTTCATGCAGTAACGAAGACCGGTAGGCGCAGGGCCATCCTCGAACACATGGCCTAGGTGTCCCTGGCACTGGGAGCACCGCACTTCGGTCCGCTCAAATCCAAAGTACGACCTATCAGATACCAGATCCACGGCTCCAGGCAGCACGTCGAAAAAACTCGGCCAGCCCGTCCCGCTCTCGTACTTAGTTTCCAAATCGAAGAGGGGAGTGCCGCATCCCCGGCAGACGAAGGTTCCGGGACGTTTCTCGAACAGGAGATCGCTGGTGAACGGTCGTTCCGTGCCGGCCTCCCGAAGGACGAAGAATTCCCCGGGGGATAGGATTTCCCGCCACTCCGCTTCCGTGTGCGACACGTTTCCTACTCGCAGCGCGATCCGCTGCTTCGGAGAGAGCGACGTGGGGTCGATGGGACCGCCGCTGGGCCCGCTGATGTTGACCGAGGCGCCAAGATCGGACGGGCTGGAGAACATATAAGAGGCTAGACCGAGTCCCGCGGCGCCGAGTGCGGCGCTAGTGGCCACTATGAGCGTCATCGCGCCGCGACGCGTGGGAGATGAGTTGATGGGTATGGCGCCCTTCGGTCTGACGTCAGGTGTGAGGGACTGGAACTCAGCGTCGTCAGCCGACGCATCTGAGCCATTAGATTTGCTTGATTTGCCGTCCCCGCCGTCCAGATTGCAGCGCACCCACATGGGATTGCGCCACGTGGCATTTCGTCGAGCAGATTGGGGGGACAATCTCGAGGGGGGAGTCCTGCTGGACGGGAGGAGGCCGTTACGAGGCGGTGTAGTAAGAGACAGCCCCGCCATAGAAGACGCTAGTCTCGAAGCCTCCAGGTCGACACTAATTGCACGACACAAATGCTTTGAGATACTGCTGAAGGAACTGCTAGCTAGGAGCTCTGCTGTGGAGAGCTAGGATTCAGTACGGCACAGAACGGCTTTGAACCAGAATCAAGCCAACTGCCATTTGTGGAACCAAGCTTGAAGTAGAGCATTTCGCCTGCTAGAAGTGAATCCCAGCTAACCTCGAGGTTTGCTGGTACGGTAATGAATCCCTCGAAAATCTCACACCGCTGATTTGTGGACTGTGAGTTAGCCCCGACAGACGTCAGCACGTTAGATTGCTGCCGCGTGTCTATGTATGAATGGTTGCCCTCCTCAAAATGACGTGGAGCTCCTAGACTGGCGAGGCCATCGTCACCTCGCAAAACTTCGTCAGCGAGTTACACGAAGTAAAATGTACCTGTCTTAGAAACAAACTGAGGTCTACATGTTAGTGGTCAACAGTCGACCATTGGACAATATGGGACCCCACTAATGCATAGCTCCACATCAGGTCGACGACTATGAAAGCTATGAATAGCCCACTCCGTCAACCTCGCCCTGGCGATGTCAACGAATCTCAATGCAGGGGCAGCTAAGAGGTGATCGAAAATATCATCGGATATTTTTGGGCAGCTCTGCATGCTCAAGTAGCGCAACCGAGCAGCTGCATACTCCCCGGGCAGGCGAAAAACCTCCCCATTACAATCATCTTGACTTGATCCCCGAACCTGGTCCCGCTCCGGCCGAACCTGCTGGGCCCAGGCTGGGCGGCAAAGGGCCTTGACACAGGGATTGGACAGCTGGCGACAACCGTCCAATCGGATCTTGATGAGGTGGTGGCATTTGTTGGCGATGGATATGATTCCGGCATCCGAAACTTGATCGCAGAAGCTAAGAGAGAGGTAGCGGAGACAGAGGCACGAAGAAGCCAGAGATTTTAAGCCCTGTAGAGGGATGGGAGGGTGGGGCAGATGAGGTGGAGAGTACACGCGAGGGAAAGAAATGGGGGGGAGGGGAAAATGATATGCATAGTGAGCGGCCAAGAGGAAACCCCCTAAAATTAACCCTCTCCCCCTTAAAACCCCCTTGTGAGTTCTCAACTCGTTGGTCAGCCTGGGGCAGCCATGCAGCGCCAGCTCCTCCAGACTGTGACAATGAGCCACCCTCACAAGCTCCACCCTCCCCCCCACAAACACCCTTTGTGCTCCCACAAGCATTCAACGTCCCACATGACCTTTTAGACGTGTCCCAAGATCCCCAAACCGGCTTCTCACCTCGTTGGTCAGCCTGGGGCAGCCATGCAGCGCCAGCTCCTCCAGACCGTGACAATGAGAGGAGAGTGACGATAACGAGGTGTCAGTTAGAGGGCTCTGGTTCAGCACCTGATGGCATGAGGGGGAGGTGGAGACAGGAAGCGGAGGACGGGGAAACAAGTGGGGAGTGACAATAACGAGGTGTTGGTTAGAGGGTACGGACCGGATAAGCACAATAATGAGAGGAGAGTGAAAACAATGAGGTGTCGGTTAGTGGGCTCTGGTTCAGCAACTGATGGCATGAGGGGGAAGTTGACACGGTCGACACGGTTGACACGGTCGACACGGTTGACACGGTCGACACGGTTGACACGGTCGACACGGTTGACACGGTCGACACGGTTGACACGGTCGACACGGTTGACACGGTCGACACGGTTGACACGGTCGACACGGTTGACACGGTCGACACGGTTGACACGGTCGACACAGTCGACACGGTCGACACGGTCGACACCGTCGACACAGGAGGTGGAGGAGGGGAACATGGGAGGAGAATCATGATAACGAGATGTCTTTTTTGAGGCGCCTAAAAACACCGGAAAAAGGGTGGAGAATCATGATAACGAGATGTCTGTTAGAGCGCTGGATTGGCACCTGCAATACGAAGATGAGTAGGATACAGGTATTGGAGGAAGAAGGCTGTGGTGAGTGGAGGAAGCAGGCTCTGGTGAGTGGAGGAAGAAGGCTCTGGTGAGTGGAGGGAGGTCAGTACAAAGAAGATTGCACAGGGAGCGAAGCGGAAGAAGCACTCTCACCGGTGTTTTCAATGCTGTGGCGCCTTGGAACAAGAGCAGTGCAGACCTTCAGACATAGACTTTTGACACCCAGACACTAGATGCGTGAAGGGATTGACCCAGTCAAAACTCACCAGTGTTTTCAACGCTGTAGCGCCTTGGAACAAGAGCGGAGCAGAGACGTCAGAAACCCCGGGCACCAGAGCAGCGTTGAGGGACTCCAACCGAGTGCAGCCAGCCAACGCCCTGACACCTGGCTCGAGCAGCTGGGGGGAACAACAAAGCGGAGCAGCAGTTTGGGTGGAGAGGGGCAGTGAGGCATGGTAAGGCCCGGTTTGGGTGGAGAGGGGCAGTGAGGCATGGTAAGGCCCGGTTTGGGTGGAGAGGGGTCGCGAGGCCTGACAAAGCGTGAGGCGTGCTTGTACAGGTAGGTAGGCGTGTATGTCATTCAATCGTAGGTGCAACCGAGCAATCTTACCTTGTGACAGAATTTGATAGAGAGGGGCGAAAGATTGGGGCAGTGAGACGCAATGAGGTCCAGTGAAGCATCCGTGATAGAAGCGCCAGCAAGGCTTCCTAGTCCGGAGTCCTGTTCCGTGATGACTTTTGAGTCGACTCAAAAGTCAGCGCCAGCAAGGCTTTCTAGTCCGGAGTCCTGTTCCGTTTCTAGTCCGGAGTTCTGGCGCACGGTGACGGAACAGGACTCCGGACTAGAAAGGCTTTCTATGTCCTGTTTCTAGTCCGGAGTTCTGGCGCTCACCTTGCGGCAAAATTTGATGGAGAGGGACGATAGGTTGGGGCAGTGAGACGCAATGAGGTCCAACGAGGCGTCGGTTATAGACGCGCCAGCTAGGGAGAGATGGGCGAGAGAGGGACAGCGCTGGAGTGGGGAGGGAAAGGAGCAGGCAGAAAGTGAGGAGTCCATCTTTGAGGCGCCTCAAGAATAGGTTGGGGCAGTGAGACGCAACGAGGTCCAAGGAAGCGTCGGTGATGGATGCGCCAGCTAGGGAGAGATGGGCGAGGGCGGGACGCCGCTGGAGTGGGGAGGGAAGGGTGGAGAGAGAAGGAGTGGCGAGGGTTTTGCTAAAGGAGGGAAAAGAGAAGCATTATGGTGCTAAGCTTTCACAAGTCACAGAAGAACATAGAATCAACCTTTGAAGTGAAAGGGGTCGATTCCTCGAATAACTCACAGCGTGTGATCAAATTACACTGGATATGCTTTTCCATCTCCTACCCGTGGTTGTGCTCTATTTCCTGCCTTTGCGGGATGGCAACCAGCTTACCGAGACGAATTCGTGCAGGGGCGGGTCCGACATGCAGCGGAAGTTGGAGAGCTCCAGGTGAGTGAGGCCGGTGCATGCACTGGCGACTGGGCGTGGAAAGGGGGGGTGGGAGGTGTTAGAGGATTGGCGAGAGGTGACAAGAATTGGAGGGGGGTGGGAAGGGGGGGAGGGAGGTGTTGGAGGATTGGCGAGAGGTGACAAGAATTGGAGGGGGGTGGGAAGGACATGTAGCAGAAGAAACGGCATGTGGGAATTGGAGAGGCCCAGGTGAGTGAGGGTGGTGCACGCACTGGCAACACGGGGAGGTGTCAGGGGGAAACGGAGAAGAAAGTTTTGAGGCGCCTCAAAAGAAGAAAGTTTTGAGGCGCCTCAAAACTAGGCAACACGGGGAGGTGTCAGGGGGAAACGGAGAAGAAAGCACACACTACACCGACAGATCCACACTACCCTCCACCACTCTGCACCGCACTCACCCTGCTTAAAACCCGCGGCCCGAATTGCCGGGCGTGGCCTTCAAATGCAGTGCTTTTGAAATTTGCGCCTTTGTGGGTGTCTAGACTTGACTTTCGTCACCCAGGGGTGCCTTTCAAGTTCAAAGCGGAAGGTATTCTGGAACACCAGGTGCTGAGCGTTTTTTTGTCCATCCATTTTTTTGCACATTTCCATCTGGCGGCGCGCAAGCCAAGTTTCTTCCCCCAGTCATTTGGAATGTAATCTCGGCAGTCAAACTGTGTGTTTGCGAACCTGGCGGCGGTCCATGACCAGCTTCCAATTCGCGTGATGAAACACCCTTGTGTGTTTTGAGTCGACTGAAAACACAATTCGCGAGATGAAGCACCCTCACGATTAATCCGAATTCGTACAACCTCAGGCTCAAAGTTCATATAAAGTGCCTTTGAACAATTTGAGCCCCAAGTTCTAAGAGCCACTTTAGGGCAGCAGTGGGAGGTGGAGGGAAAAGATGCCAGCAACACACCCCACCATCTCTGCCACCACACTCTATGAAACCCAACCACTCTCCGCTGCTTTGCACCACTGTCCACCACTGTTCACCACACTCACTCTGCATGAGAGCCACTTCAGAGCAGTGGTTTGAGGCAGGGAGGGAGGGTAGGCATAGCAATTCAGAAATCCACATTTCAGCACACTCCACCAGCCAGCGCCCCACTTCACCGTACTGAACTGCACTCACCTTGCATGAGAGCCACTTCAGAGCAGCGCCGGGAGGCAGGGAGGGAGGGCAGGCGCAGGCTGAGAGTGGTGAGGGAAGCAGCACGGGTGGTGAGGGCGAGGAGACCCTCATCCGTTAAAAACTGCTGATGGGTGAACGCTCAAGGGCATGTGGAAAGGCAGGGAGGGAGGGAGGGCAGGGAGAGAGGGCAGGCGCAGGCTCACTCACCACTCGTTCCTCCTCACCTCACTCGCCCTCACCAGGAGGGAAGTGAGTGAGGAGGAACGAGTGGTGAGGGCGAGTAGGCCTTCGTCTGTTCGAAACTGCTGATGGTGAATGGTCAAGGGCATGTGGAAGGGTAGACGAAGGCTGAGGGACGTGGGAGAAGCAGCACCCTTAGCATCTTCACTGCATCAGTCACCCCCGTACCCCACCTGTATCATGCCTAGATGGGCCTATCCTACTCAGTCCATTAGGACCTGTATCACATCCCTGCTCTCTCTCACCTCGTCCATTAGGGCCAGCAAGTCAATAAATCACATCCCTGCTCTCTCACCTCGTCCCCTCTGCCGTGCCCCACCCCCTCCGCCTTATCCACCAGCAGCAGCTCCTCCAGATTGGGGCACAGCCGCACTATCCTCATCACAACGGCGTCAGTCAACCCCATGCCCCACTCATGCCGCCTCTTGTGGCGGAATCGGGTCAGGTGGGGGAGGTGGCATGTGGACAGGTAGACCAGCGTCTCCTGCATGTGTGGGGGGCGGCATGAGGAGGGGAGGGGGGGTTGGGGGTGGAGGGAGATATGGTGTGTTTGGTGCAGGGGGGGGGTTCCTTGCCTGTCTGTCGCCCCATGCCCCACTCGTGCCGCCGCTTGTGGCGGACGCAGCTGAGGTGGGGGAGGTGGCATGAGGACAGGTAGATCAGCGTCTCCTGCGTGTGTGGGGGGCGGCGTGAGGGGGGGGAGGGGAGGGGGGGTGGGGGATGGGTGGAGATATGGTGTGTTTGGTGCAGGGGGGAACTCCTTGCCTGCCTGTCGCCCCCATGCCCCAGTCGTGCCGCCTCTTGTGGCGGAAGCGGGTCAGGTGGGGGAGGTGGCAACTGGACAGGTAGATCAGGGTTTCCTGCATGTGATGGCAAGAGAGGCGAGGCGAGGAGAGAGAGAAGTTAAGAGCGTGAGTCGGCTCAGAAGGGAAGCTGAGAGCTGTGAGCCGACATAACCATGGAGATGTCATGGATGCTGGGCCCTCTAAGCAGGGGACATTGGGCATGCCCCTCCTGCCGCCCGCACAACAGCGTTCACGTGCAGCCCCTCCCCACCATCCGTAGCAAGAGAAGAGAAGTGAAGCGAGGAGAGGATAACCGGACAGCAGAGAGATGGGAGACGGCCAGGCCCACTGGGGCATACCATGGAGATGTCATACACGCTCACCTCCCTAAGCAAAGGGCGTGACCTCCCAGCACCGCACACAACAGCATCCATGTGTAGCCCCTCCCCGGCATCGATGGCAAGAGGGGCGAGGGGAGGAGATGGGAGGGGAGGGGATTACGGAGAGCTGACTCGCCATTGCGATGTCGTAGATGCTGAGCTCTCTCAATAAAGGGCATGCCCTCCCAGCCGCCATCACAACAGCGTCCACATGCAGCCCCACCCCGGCATCGATGGCAAGAGAGGCGAGGCAGGGAGAAGCGAGACTAAGAGCTGCCAGACAGACGCTGTGCTGACACTTACCATAGAGATGTCATACACGCTCAGCTCTCTAAGGTTGGGACACAAACTCCCAGCCGCCATCACAACAGCGCCCACGTGCAGCCCCTCCCCAGCGTCGATGGCAAGAGAGGCGAGGCAGGGAGACACGGAGAGGAGAGAGACGAAGGAGTCAGAGCCGATGGACCGGCTGAAACCAGAGAAGGCGAACTTGGTCAGGTTCGGGCCGAGCCTGTCTGCCAGGCCTGGAAAAGTAAGGGAGGGAAAGGCCAGCGAATAGAGAGCAGATGGGGAAAGCGTTAATCGTTTAGATGATTTAAGTGGTCTTAGAGCGTTCGAAACAGGAAAGAAGAACTGCCGACTTTAATGAATTGTAACGATGGCAAGAGAGAGATATAATGCTTCTTTCAGCTGCATAAGAAGAAACAAAGAGCAGCACGACAAGAGCTCACCCTGAATAAGGGCGTCTGTGTGCTTGTCTGCCCCACACAGCGCCAGCTCCTCTATGCTCTCTGGCAGCAGCGACGTGCACCTGTCACTCAGATGCCAACAGTCCTGGCAGCAAGCAGGGGGAGCAGGGGGGGGCGGGAGCATACGGGGAGAATGATTACAGACCAAGGGAGGTTAGAGGGGCGTGCTTCTCTGCGCTGCGCCGCACAGCGCCAGCTCCTCTGTGCTCTCGGGTGGCAGCTTCTCTGTGCTCTCGGGTGCCAGCTCCTCTGTGCTCTCGGGTGGCAGATTCTCTGTGCTCTCAGGTGCCAGCTCCTCTAGGCAACATGTAATGAACAAGGGAGCGACAACAGGCTACGAAATATGACGAGGGCGAAAAAAAAGGGATACGGGAACTCCAGGAGATACGTATAAGGGGAACTCCAGGAGATACGTATAAGGGGAACTCCAGGAGATACGTATAAGGGGAACTTCAGGAGATACGTATAAGGGGAACTCCAGGAGATACGTATAAGGGGAACTCCAGGAGATACGTATAAGGGGAACTCCAGGAGATACGTATAAGGGGAACTCCAGGAGATACGTATAAGGGGAACTCCAGGAGATACGTATAAGGGGAACTCCAGGAGATACGTATAAGGGGAACTCCAGGAGATACGTATAAGGGGAACTCCAGGAGATACGTACAAGGGGAACTCAAGAGAGAGATACGTATAAGGGGAACTCCAGGAGATACGTATAAGGGGAACTCCAGGAGATACGTATAAGGGGAACTCCAGGAGATACGTATAAGGGGAACTCCAGGAGATACGTATAAGGGGAACTCCAGGAGATACGTATAAGGGGAACTCAAGAGAGAGATACGTATAAGGGGAACTCCAGGAGATACGTATAAGGGGAACTCCAGGAGATACGTATACGTGCAAACAAGGGGAATAGTCATGCGCCAACAAGGGGAGTAGTCATGCGCCAACAAGGGGAATAGTCATGCACCAACAAGGGGAATAGTCATGCACCAACAAGGGGAGTAGTCATGCGCCAACAAGGGGAATAATCATGCGCCAACAAGGGGAGTAGTCATGCGCCAACAAGGGGAATAGTCATGCGCCAACAAGGGGAGTAGTCATGCGCCAACAAGGGGAATAGTCATGCACCAACAAGGGGAATAGTCATGCGCCAACAAGGGGAATAGTCATGCGCCAACAAGGGGAATAGTCATGCGCCAACAAGGGGATAGTCATGCGCCAACAAGGGGAATAGTCATGCGCCAACAAGGGGAATAGTCATGCGCCAACAAGGGGAATAGTCATGCGCCAACAAGGGGAATAGTCATGCGCCAACAAGGGGAATAGTCATGCGCCAACAAGGGGAATAGTCATGCGCCAACAAGGGGAATAGTCATGCGCCAACAAGGGGAATAGTCATGCGCCAACAAGGGGAGTAGTCATGCGCCAACAAGGGGAATAGTCATGCGCCAACAAGGGGAAGTAGTCATGCGCCAACAAGGGGAATAGTCATGCGCCAACAAGGGGAATAGTCATGCGCCAACAAAGGGGAATAGTCATGCGCCAACAAGGGGAGTAGTCATGCGCCAACAAGGGGAGTAGTCATGCGCCAACAAGGGAATAGTCATGCGCCAACAAGGGGATAGTCATGCGCCAACAAGGGGAATAGTCATGCGCCAACAAGGGGAATAGTCATCGCCAACAAATAGCGCCAACAAGGGGAATAGTCATGCGCCAACAAGGGGAATAGTCATGCGCCAACAAGGGGAGTAGTCATGCGCCAACAAGGGGAATAGTCATGCGCCAACAAGGGGAGTAGTCATGCGCCAACAAGGGGAATAGTCATGCGCCAACAAGGGAGTAGTCATCGCAACAAGGGAATAGTCATCCCAACAAGGGAATAGTCATGCGCCAAAACAAGGGGAATATCATGCGCCAACAAGGGAGAGGAAGAATAGTCATGCGCCAACAAGGGGAATAGTCATGCGCCAACAAGGGGAGTAGTCATGCGCCAACAAGGGGAATAGTCATGCGCCAACAAGGGGATAGTCATGCGCCAACAAGGGGAATAGTCATGCGCCAACAAGGGGAATAGTCATGCGCCAACAAGGGAATAGTCATGCGCCAACAAGGGGAATAGTCATGCGCCAACAAGGGGATAGTCATGCGCCAACAAGGGGAATAGTCATGCGCCAACAAGGGGAGTAGTCATGCGCCAACAAGGGGAATAGTCATGCGCCAACAAGGGGAATAGTCATGCGCCAACAAGGGGATAGTCATGCGCCAACAAGGGAATAGTCATGCGCCAAACAAGGGGAATAGTCATGCGCCAACAAGGGGAATAGTCATGCGCCAACAAGGGGATAGTCATCCAAAATAGCAGCGCCAACAAGGGGAATAGTCATGCGCCAACAAGGGGAATAGTCATGCGCCAACAAGGGGAATAGTCATGCGCCAACAAGGGAATAGTCATGCGCCAACAAGGGGAATAGTCATGCGCCAACAAGGGAATAGTCATGCGCCAACAAGGGGAATAGTCATGCGCACAGGAACACAAAGGGGAATATCATGCGCCAACAAGGGGAGTAGTCATGCGCCAACAAGGGGAATAGTCATGCGCCAACAAGGGGAGTAGTCATGCGCCAACAAGGGGAATAGTCATGCGCCAACAAGGGGAATAGTCATGCGCCAACAAGGGGAATAGTCATGCGCCAAACAAGGGGAATAGTCATGCGCCAACAAGGGGAATAGTCATGCGCCAACAAGGGGAATAGTCATGCGCCAACAAGGGGAATAGTCATGCGCCAACAAGGGGAATAGTCATGCGCCAACAAGGGGAATAGTCAGGGGAGTAGTCATGCGCCAACAAGGGGAATAGTCATGCGCCAACAAGGGAATAGTCATGCGCCAACAAGGGGGAAGTAGTCATGCGCCCAAAACCAAGGGGAATAGTCATGCGCCAACAAGGGGAGTAGTCATGCGCCAACAAGGGGAATAGTCATGCGCCAACAAGGGGAATAGTCATGCGCCAACAAGGGGAGTAGTCATGCGCCAACAAGGGGAATAGTCATGCCCAACAAGGGGAGTAGTCATGCGCCAACAAGGGGAATAGTCATGCGCCAACAAGGGGAATAGTCATGCGCCAACAAGGGGAGTAGTCATGCCGCCAACAAAGGGGGGAATAGTCATGGCGCCAACAAGGGGGAGAATAGTCATGCGCCAACAAGGGGAATAGTCATGCGCCAACAAGGGGAGTAGTCATGCGCCAACAAGGGGAATAGTCATGGCGCCAACAAGGGGAGTAGTCATGCGCCAACAAAAAGCAAACAAGGGAATAGTCATGCGCCAACAAGGGGAATAGTCATGCGCCAACAAGGGGAATAGTCATGCGCCAACAAGGGGAGTAGTCATGCGCCAACAAGGGGAATAGTCATGCGCCAACAAGGGGAATAGTCATGCGCCAACCAAGGGGTAGTCAGCGCCAACAAAGAATAGTCACCCAACAAGGGAATAGATCAATAGCAGCCCAACAAGGGGAATAGTCATGCGCCAACAAGGGGGTAGTCTGCGCACAGGGGGAATAGTCATGCGCCAACAAGGGGAGTAGTCATGCGCGGCAAACAAGGGAATAGTCATGCCCAACAAAGGGAGTAGTCATCGCCAACAAGGGGAATAGTCATGCGCCAACAAGGGGAAGTCATGCACCACAAGGGGAATAGTCTGCGCCAAGGGTAGTCATGCGCCAACAAGGGGAATAGTCATGCACTCAACAAGGGAATAGTCATGCGCAACAAGGGAATAGTCATGCGCCAACAAGGGGAATATCATCCCAACAAGAAGTCATGCGCCAACAAGGGGAAAGTCATCCCAACAAGGGAGTAGTCATCGCCACAGGGGAATAGTCATGCGCCAACAAGGGGAATAGTCATGCGCCAACAAGGGGAATAGTCATGCCCCTTCATGCGCCAACCCCAAGGGGAATAGTCATGCGCCAACAAGGGAATAGTCATGCCCAACAGGGGATAGTCATGCGCCAACAAGGGGAATAGTCATGCGCCAACAAGGGGAATAGTCATGCGCCAACAAGGGGAATAGTCATGCCCCATCGCGCCAACAAGGGGAGTCTGCCCAAGGGATAGTCATGCGCCAACAAGGGGAGTAGTCATGCGCCAACAAGGGGAATAGTCATGCGCCAACAAGGGGATAGTCATGCGCCAACAAGGGGAATAGTCATGCGCCAACAAGGGGAGTAGTCATGCGCCAACAAGGGGAATAGTCACGCAAAGGGATATCATCGCACAAGGGATAGTCATGCGCCAACAAGGGAATAGTCATGCGCCAACAAGGGGAATAGTCATGCGCCAACAAGGGGAATAGTCATGCCGCCAACAAGGGGAATAGTCATGCGCCAACAGGGGGAGTAGTCATGCGCCAACAAGGGGAATAGTCATGCGCCAACAAGGGGAGTAGTCATGCGCCAACAAGGGGAATAGTCATGCGCCAACAAGGGGATAGTTCAGTCATTGCGCCAACAAGGGGAATAGTCATGCGCCAACAAGGGGAATAGTCATGCGCCAACAAGGGGAATAGTCATGGCGCCAACAAGGGGAATAGTCATGCGCCAACAAGGGGAATAGTCATGCGCCAACAAGGGGAGTAGTCATGCGCCAACAAGGGGAATAAGTCATGCGCCAACAAGGGGAATAGTCATGCGCCAACAAGGGGAATAGTCATGCGCCCAAACAAGGGGAATAGTCATGCGCCAACAAGGGGAATAGTCATGCGCCAACAAGGGGAATAGTCATGCGCCAACAAGGGGGAGTAGTCATGCGCCAACAAGGGGAATAGTCATGCCGCCAACAAGGGGAATAGTCATGCGCCAACAAGGGGAATAGTCATGCGCCAACAAGGGGAATAGTCATGCGCCAACAAGGGAATAGTCATGCGCCAACAAGGGGAAATAGGTGTCATGCGCCAACAAGGGGAGTAGTCATGCGCCAACAAGGGGAATAGTCATGCGCCAACAAGGGGAATAGTCATGCGCCAACAAGGGGAATAGTCATGCGCCAAAGGGGGATAGTCATGCGCCAACAAGGGGAA